ACCTTTCAGCGGGGCTCGCAATTAGTCTTCTAAAAACACGAAAACTCGTGGTGCTGAGATATGGTAAACACCATGCCTGTCCCAAGGAGGACGTGAGAAACCTCTGGTTTGTGCTGCTTTGCTCAAGGCTCCTGCCCGGTATCTGGCTGTGCGCTGCCCTAAAAAAGAGCATGGCATTCCGTGGGCATGTACACAGAGGCCGCCCGTCTTGAGAGAGGAGGGGAGCCTTCCATCTTGAAGAAAGAGAGACAAACACAGTTTTCTGGTGAAGGTGGCTCTGCTCTCCCTGAAGGCACCATTCCCAAAAGGCTGGGTCCGCACAGTGCTGCACCACACACCCAAAGGTGTTGGTGACAAGGGAGAGAAGGGGGGAAGGTACGCCAAGCAGCACGGCAGAGGGACCCCCTCGGTGCAGGGGTGCCGAGGGGCCCGGGCCAGCGGCAGAGGCGAGCCAGAGCAAGGCAAACATGCCGCGTCCTGCTGTGCAGTGCTGATGCTGGCTGGGGACAGGAGGAGGACCTGCTCACAGGCCAGCCACAGGGTGGCGTGGCCGGATCCCATCAGCGAAGGACACAAGCAGTCTGTCCCACGACATCGGGGTCTCACAACCCGGCCTCGCGCTTCCCGTCTGGGGTCATCTCCTCCCGCTCCTCCAGGACAGCGAGTCCTTGTCTCCAGCGTCCTCCGGCCTCACGCCCTCGCACCCCGTCGGTCTTGAGGATGAAGGTGTCTCTCTGCTCGGAGACTTTAATTACTAGCAGTCCTTGAAGAGCCCATTCAGGCACCAGCCGTTCCTCCTGTTGCACTGCCCATCTCCCCAAACGCTGAGGCAGCCTGCCTGGTGTGTCCCCCCGTGAGAAGCGTGCCTCGAGCTAACCAGTCTTCTCCAACCAGTGTCCTTTTGTGTCTAGTTGATCTCCCTAACTAGTTTCTGGACGCCAAAAGACCTTTCTCCATACACTTTGCTGCTTCCCCTGTGCAGGGCAACTCCCGAGCATACGGTGGTGGGAACAGTGCAGAAGCACACAAGGCAGTGTGGTAAGCTCCAGGGCTGGGCTCTGTTCTAAGTATTGTATGAGGTTTGGCAAATAAGCCTCACAATTACCTGAGAGAGGTATGATTATTAGCCCCGTTTTACAGAAGGACAAACCAAGGCATACGAGGTCAATGACTTGCCAGGACCACACAACCGGGAAGTTGGGCAGAACCCAAACCTGAGCTCTTGGACCTGAGGGCCTGGGCCTGGGCCACACTAGGTTGCTGCCCTGGGTTTGGGGGCTGAGAAGACAAAGACGGGGTGGGGAGCCAATGGAGGGGCAAAAAAATTAGTGAGAATATCTACAGCAAACACATATAATACCATCTCATTCCTTGAAACTTACATAAATGTACACACATTTATTCATAAAGAGGTACATGAAAAGATCTCTACAATGTCAATGGGTAGTCCGCTGTCTCAGGAGGGCGGGGCTGAGTCACTTAGTTCCTTTTCCATATTTGCCCGTACAGTTTGATTTTCAAGGAGACTGTAAGGTGCTGCATATTGCAAAAATGATAACCAGTGACGTCAGTTTTGTTATGAGAGGAAAAGGAAAACAAAACAAAAGAAAGAAAAAAGAAGGAGGGACGGGAAGAGTCATCACATGTTTCTGATTCAAAGGGTGGCAGGCCACTCCTGTGTCTTGGGTCACCTTGGTGACAATGCAGGAGGTGAAGACAGACATAATATTCTACCATGTGGAATGAGGGCAACGACAACCACTCCCACTCATAGGGCCCAAAGAAGTAGTATGGGAAGTTGAAAATGCAGCTACCCCCACACCAGCACGAATCACCATAGTCAAATGCCCATCAACAGATGAACACATGAACAGATTGTGGTATGTCTACATGATGGAATGTTATTCAGCCATAAAAAGGAAAGAAGTACTGATACAGGCTGCAGCATGGGCGACAGTGAAAACATTGTGCTAAGTGAGAGAAGCCAGACTCAGAAAGTCACTTGCTACATGATTCTGTTTATAGGAAATACCCAAGATAGGTAAATCCATAGAGTCAGAAAGCAGATTAGTAGTTGGCAGGGACAGGTGGGGGGGGGGGCAGGGAATGGGGGACAACTGCTTCTCGGGCATGAGGTTTCCTTTTAGGAAAATGTTTTGGAATTTGATAGAGGGGATGCCTGCACCATGTACTGAACACCACTGAATCGTACACTTTAAAATGGTTAAGTTTATGTTACATGAATTTACCTCAATTAAAAGACAGTCCAGTTAGCCTTTTAACCTAAACCCCTAATAAAATGAAAGGGCAGATAAGAAGAAAGAAAGAGAGAGAGAGAGAGAGAAAGAAAGGAAACAAACAAAAAAAAAAAAAACAAAGAAAAGGAAAGAAAGAAAAAAGGAAAAGAAAGAAAGAAAGAGGGAGGGGGGAGGGAGGAAACAGAGAGAGAGAGAGAAACAAAGAAGGAAGGAAGGAAGGAAGGAAGGAAGGAAGGAAGGAAGGAAAGAAAGAAAGAAAGAAAGAAAGAAAGAAAGAAAGAAAGAAAGAAAGAAAGAAAATCCCAGTAAATGAAGGAAGCAGGACACTCCAAGGAAGCCTGGGGGCAGAGGAGAGAGGGTCCCTGCCCAGCCGAGGGCAGACCTTCCCCAACTGAGCACCTAGAAGCCACCGCCTCCATTTACCGGGAGCTTTCACCTTTTTCCTACGACACCTCCTGTTTCAGCTAAAAGCTATGAGACGACAGGCTCATCAAATATTTGCTGGGGGGAAGCTCCACCTATTCAAATGCTTTGCTGCTGGAAGCGGACCCTGCAGGGAGTTGCCTCTCCAGCATCGGCCACACCATAAGGCAGCTGCCTGCTGCTTGGCTGCCTCCCCCAAGGCTGGGAGCCACTCACGGGCAGGCACGCCTTGTGCATGGCTGTGTCCCGGCCTTCATCACAGCCCCTGGCTCAGAACAGGGGACTGCATATACCAGTGTTAAAGAAATGAATGTCTGTGCTCGCTGCGGCAGCACATATACTAAAGAGATGAATGTCCTCCATTTTATATATCTTATCACTTGATTTATATATATTTTTTAAAGTTTTTATTTTTATTTATTTGAGAGAGAGTGAGTATGTGCAAGTGCATGCGAGCGGGGTAGGGGCAGTGGGGGGGAGGGGGTGTGAGAGTCCCAGGCAGGCTCCACGCGCAGCACGAGACTGGTGCAGGCCTCCATCTCACGAACCACGAGATCATGACCTGAGCCAAAATCAACGGTCAGATGCTCAATCCACTGAGCCACCCAGGCGCCCCTGATTTATATTTTTAATAGATAAAACACAGATACGGTATAAAATCCAAAGGCTTCGAGGAATGTAATGGTGGTAAATTTCCCTTTCACCCACCCTTGGGCTCCCTCACCTACGAGGCAACCTCTGACACTGTCCCCATCGCTCTAAATGTCACCACTGGAGTGAAATTCTGAATTGAAAGAGCTGCGGCAACCAGACTACCTAGTGACTTGGGCACCAGGTCATCAGCACAAGATGGAAGCCACATGTGACCCCAACATGAAAGTCATCGGAGTGAAAACAAGGTCCCAGTATTTCGTGCTGGGAGGAGGCACATGCCAGGCTTGCAGAGGAACGCTGCTAAGGTGACAGCCGTCCCCCCAGAGTCATTCATGGCATGCCGAGAAGCCCGTGGGCAGGGGCCAGCCAGCCAGCCACCTCCAGCTCCTCACACCTGTTTCTGACGCTGGCACATTTCAAGCTGAGGCAAGGCCACGGTGCCACATGATGGGACGAAAGTAGACACGCGGACCGCAACCACCCTCGGACTCAGAGGTCCTTTAGTGGCTCGTCTAGAGGAGAAATGTTCACCTTAAAAGAACTCGACTGTGAGCCGCGTGGCACTGTCCCGGCAGATAGGAACTGAGCCGGCCAGGAGGAGAGGGGCCGTGGAAATCAAAGCCCCCGGGTGGCAAAGAATTTGGGCAGAGTCCCCAGGGGCGCATACCGTGTGCGACGGGAACATCTGGACACACTGAGCTCCGGGCTGTGAGGGGCTTTTTTTGAAAACTGACTAATTGCCCTGTATAGTCACCAAACCGAAGCCTAAAAAAAGACCCAAGCCACGCAGGCTCATCTGTTCTCCAAGGCTCCTGCCTAATGTGGTAAAGCACTGGCGAGAGGGTGAGCCGGGTGCTTATCTGATTTCAGCCAATCTGTTACTGTATTTCATTCCCTGTCCTCACGCCTGGAGGCTGTAGCAATGTGTATAAATTTAGAAAGAAAAAGATAAATAACATGGAAAAGTCCATTTTAACAAAATAAGCTCTTTTCTTTCTTTCTTCTTACTCCACAAAGACAGGACAAAACGATCGTGTTACTGATTTAGCCCTTACCGTGGTGGAATTTGGTAGTCTGGGCAGCAACTCAATAATGCATGACCGCGGCCCAAGATTAACTAGCTTCTTCCGAAATTGTAAAATAGTCAAGCCTCCATCCCAAATAGTTTTTAGAAGCTGAAGGAACAAAATGACAGTACTTCACCCAGGATCTGTAATCAACTGGAGTCTCCTCTGATCAAGCCAAAATCTCTAAATGGAGACTGTTTATTTACACGAATGCCTCTACCAGCTCACCTGACAATACCTTCCCCCAGGAGTTACGCGCCAATGCTTTAAATAAGGTAAAACCTTCATAAAGACATTAGTATTGTGGACAGGAGGTTTTGGGTTATGGGAGAAATTGCCCTGAAAGAGAAAATGCTTGCCTTTCATCACATGCAAATGCACAGCCAGTGAGTCTGTGGACCGAAGTAGGAAGGCACCACCAGTGGATTCTGTGAGCTAATCATTTAGCCCAATTCCCATGTGGCAGAGTTGAATGATGGACTCACGGTCGCGTGGCTGCCAGCGACACAGGGGTCAGGACCAGGTCCCACAGCCCCTCCCCGGGCTTTTTCTGGTGGCACCGCTCCCCACCCGAAAGTATCAGACTCCAGCACTATACCTCCGACAGCATCTCATACTGGCCCCTCCTTCCAAGGGCAATGGTCAGTAAATCGTAGACCACAGATGCGCTCTGCAGGCTGATGAGGCGGTCACTCTTGTGCTCGGGGATCCGGCTCAGCACAGCGTCCCGGTTGGCCTGAGAACCACACAGAAGAGAGAAGCAGATGGTGAGCCAGGCCACGCACACAGCCGATGTTTTGTGTAGAGAAGCCATCTTGGCCCTCCTGCCCCGAACAGCTTGCCGGGGGCCTGGAGAAAGGGGAAAGAAGGAGCACGGGGCTTGTCACCTTGGGTTGTTTATTCAAATTCCCCAGAGCACCTGAAGCACATGGTACAGGGTGTTATCGGCACACGAAGGCCCAGAGGTATGGTGCTGGAGCATGCTTGGGACCTGTCGGCAGGCATCTGCGGGAAGCTCTGGGAGCTGATGGGAAGCAGGGTGGGTTCTCCCAGGCCTGGGCCCACGGCCAGTGCGCTGGGGCAGCAGAATGACCCACCAGGGGCAGCCCTGCTGTGCTTCGCCTGCTGGCCCTGCTTCTGCTCTACATTAAAGAGTGGGGGGATCCCCAGCCTCACGTTCCCATCATCCAATGGTACCATTACATTCTGTCTGTCCTGCGGAGATGCGTGGTACTTTTCCTCTGTCACTAAAGCAACATTCAAATCCCTATATGGCTCCTTCACCGGAACAGACTACAAAGACTAATGCAATCTTATTGAGGGAAGCACAAAACAGCTGTATCAGAGAAAGCAAGAAGCAAACAGATTTTTGTCTTAAAAGATATTGCTGAGGACTCGAGAGATCACCCTGCCTATTGCCCATCGCTGCTGCTTGGCACAGAAATACTGCAGGCACATTCAAGCTTATTAGTCCCATCTATCTAGAAATCAAATGCTCTTTACAACAACTTGTTCTCATTACTTTTGAAATTTAATTTCTCTACAGATTCTCCAGACACATCCCACGTATTAGGGACGCCACCTACTCTAACCATTTTCCCTTTCTCCCTAATAGGGAGCTCAGGATCAGCTAAGTTAGATTTTGCCTGTCTTGGTCCCCCCTGCTAATTAACAGAAGTCTCCAGATCTCTCCATCCCTAAGAGGACAGAAGGGGCCCATTGGTTTATTCCCGCGAAGGGGTGCACAAGACACCGGGGTCGCTTGTTCAGGCAGGCCGACGGCCGTCTCCCTGCCTCACATTTGGAATGGTTGCGCACACACCTCTCTCACTAATGAGACAAAATGCCTTCTCTGTGTGTGTGAGTCCAAGACATTCACTTTCAGCCACCCATCAGTACTTACTCACTCGAAAACTCCTTGCTCTTTAATGTCAAAGACAAATAAGAATATGTAAGACAGGCCACTTCCTACAAAGTGAGTCATCTCTTATGGATACAAGCCTGCTTTTGAAGATTTCATTCTAGGGTTTTCTGGTTAGGAGTGCCTTTGAGCCAAGAAAAGAGGCTCTGGGGAAAATAGGGCCTGCGGTAAAGGGTCTCATTTTATTTACTTGCCATAGATGTTCCATCTTGAGCCCAATGCCTGGAGGAGAACAAAACAAAGCAAAACAAAACAAAATCCTACTTAGGAGAGATTTTCAAGTTATGCCAAGCACGCTGTTTTTGTTTTTGTTTTTAATTCTTAGAGAAAATTTATCGACGTCATTTGATTAAAACCTCAAACAGACCAACAAATAATAAATACCGCAGTATATCGTGTCGGTGGTAGCTGTGCAAATGTGGTTCTGATGACCCCTTTCTCCTGGGGAAACGTAATTTGACCTGAGGTGAGAAAGCAGTACAATTCCAGACACTTTATAGCAGGCAGAGAGACTAAGTTAAAGTCAGAACCAATGAAAAAATACAACTTTCTCAGACCAAAAACACACAGCAATTCTCAACTGGTCCTGAAAGTGAGCACATGAATTTCCTGTCTAAAAACTGAAAAATCAAGAAGTCAAGGAACATGAAAAAAGGCCTCCAAAGGCAACTTAACTGAGACTTCTACCTACATAATTATGGAATGATTTACATACAGGGAGGACACAGTCATTTTGGTTGGAAACCCAGCCCTTCATATTTACTGATGAGGTCACTGGATTTCACCATCTGCTGAAGACAGTTTGCAGAAATTCAATACCACAGAGACAAATCTAACTGTCTCAAAGGGATCTCAATTTTGAGTATTATTATTTTCTATCGTTTCAATTAAGGAGCAGGAAAGTTGGAGACATCATTCCCAAGATGTCTCCACTTAGGGCAGGCATTTAAGAGATGTGCCTTTGTTTTCCAAATTCTAAGCTGGAATGCACCATCTGACCACAGAACACCATATTTTCAATCAGAGAACCATGCAAGAAATCTAAAATGTGTGGTTGCCACTCTTTCAGAACTTTTACAATGTCACCAAGTCCGCCCAAAGGAAACTAACCGCCAGGTGGTGGAGAGCCCAGCTTAGAAGGAGGCCTGAGAGCTGGGAGGCCAATGTGAGCCAGCCCCCTACCAAAGAACTGCTGATGAAGCGCGGGGAGACTGGCTCATTCGAAAAAGTTACCGAATGCCACAGAGTTCCAGCCTGTTCACATGTATGTCTTCCATGACCATGCCAAGGCAGAGTAGAGAATGTAAATGACACCGCTCTAAGTTACCAGCTGACAGTCCAGGAAAGATGAGTCAAGGGGGCGACCTGTTTCCTTCAGAGGAAGTAAGGCCAATGACGTCAAAGAAGTTCCAAATAAAAAGCAGTGGTAACTCAAGCAGTCTTGCTCTGGTAAACATCTCTGGGCCATTTCACAGAACAAGGAAACCCAAAGCTTGAAATTAAGGCACGGAGGTTAGCCTCCCTGACCGATCCCAGCCTCTCCTGAGCCTCCTTCACTCGGCAGATGGCCATTCTTCTCGTGCTCCATTTCTAAATCTTCTTAGGCTGAGTGCATTTCATGCTTCCATTCAAACCGCACACTCGGGGAAGAAGGAAACTACCTTCTCTTGCCTCAGTTTCAATTCCTTTTCCTCCACCATCTCCACCTGGCTGCCTGGTGAGGTGGGAGATAGGAGAGGGAGCCACCTAATCTGGAAAGAGCAACTAACCACTGCAGGACGCACCCATTTTGACTGCTCTGGTCCTCATCTGCAGAATGAGTGGATGGGGGCGAGGACATCTAGGTCCTTCCAAGTTCCAGGAGCCTCGCCACTTTACTCGGGTGCTCAGCACACACCATTTAGGTGCCAACATACTAACTATTCTAACACAGATTGCTTCTCAGAGTTTCAGGCCAGGTGGTTGTGCCTAGTGATACGCAGAGTAGAAACCCAATAAATGGTGAGTAATGAAATTCTAGATGTAAACTTTGATATCCTGGCCAGACATTACAAAAACATTTCAAAGGAATCTGATGGCCTGGCAAAAACTCCCGCACAGCAGCAGAGCCAGGTAACAGGAGCGAGCTCTCCTGGCCAGGGACTCCGCGGTGCCTGGGGTGCAGGCGGGAGACCTGTCCAAGGGGCTGAGTCTGTGCCATCAGGCTCCTGCTATAAAAACCAGAGGTTCGAGGCGCCTGGGTGGCTTAGTCGGTTGAGTGTCCGACTTCAGCTCAGGTCAATGACCTCATGGTTCATGAGTTCAAGCCCTGCATTAGGCTCTGTGCTGACAGGGCAGAGCCTGCTTCGGATTCTGTGTCTCCCTCTCTCTCTCTGTCCCTCCCCCACTTGTGTTCTGTCTCTTTCTCTCTCAAAAATAAATAATACATTAAAAAAAAAAACACCCATAGGTTTGTATACACCACAAGTGATTTATCCCTAAACTCTCCCTCCCCACCCAGGCAAGTTGAGAAGGCTTGAAAAGGTTACCCACTGGGGGCTTCCTTTCCTTTTAAGGGTGACTTTGATGGTCCTTTTAGCTGTAGTTTTCTGACATACAATTGTGCTAGTGTTCCATCAATACCCGGTGGGCAAATAAATGAACCCGAGGAAGAGAAGCCCCACACTCCAGGCTGACATTAACCTACAAGGGACGTTTCTAACCATTCCAAGAATTAAGAAACATCCCTCTTTTCACACCCTTGTTGTTTGTTCCCCCACCCAGGTATCCCTTCTAGAAAGTACCCTTCTCCCATCAAAAATAGGACTATAGGAACAGGGGAAAGAAAAGTGTGAGAACACAGTCTACTTACCATCGACTCACTAATCAGCAGTAGTAAGAGGGCTTCCTCAGTATTTTCTTGAGGACAAAAAATGCTGTGCAAAGAAAATCAAATTTTATATATGGTAATTTCAAAATAATACAATGAACAGAACTGATTATTAAAAGCCTTTAGATTGTTTATATAGAATCCACAAAAAAATACCATATCATCTGGACACTCGAATTAATTTGCTTATTTCTATGGTAATCTATGGAATTTATACATTTTAACTATGCATTTTAATAGCAGCCAGCAGTGAAGTAAAGCTGTAAAAACCATATACATAAAAACATATATGCCCATTATAGAGGCAGAAATTTAGATTGCTGCAAACCGACATTACGTCAGTGATAAAGCTCTCTTCTCATCCCATTATGAGGGTATAGATGGCAGGCATTTCACTAAGGTCTCTTCTTAGTTTTCCTTGCTAACGGCTGTATCTTATATTGTCCTTTATTTATTTATTTATTTATTTATTTATTTATTTATTTATAATTTCTGTGAGAGAAAGAGAGACAGTGTGAGCAAGGGAGGGTCAGAGAGAGAGGGAGATACAGAATCTGAAACAGGCTCCAGGCTCTGAGCTAGCTGTCAGCACAGAGCTCAACTCAGGGCTCAAACCCATGAACCATGAGATCATGACCTGAGCCGAAGTTGGATGCTCAACCGACTGAGCCATCCAGGCGCCCCGATCTTTTAGATGAAATAAGAGATTGGAAGCAATTTTAGAGTTTGAATCATTTCTAGAATACTGTGAGAATTTGGCGAGCCACCTTAATTAAACACACATGTTCTATTATGGGGTGACAAGCAAGAGCTAGCTGTCTTATTAATCTATTTTATGGAAGTTGGCTGAGCTATAACATCTTGGATTAAAAGAAAAAGCTTTTAAGCTCAATGTTACTCAAGATTAGAGAACAAAAAAACCCCAAACATACCCCCAACCTCCATTCTTTATAGCCTATAGCCTTGTGCTTTGAGCATTTTTCAAGACTGTTCACATTTTTTCCCTCTGTTCTAAAAGCTCTAGAATCCTTTGAGTAGAACTGAAATTGTTATCACTAATTGAGCCAAACTCGACTCTTTTTCACGGAAAGGAAGAAGAGTGCAATAAAAATGAACTTGGTTAAAAAACAACAACAACAAAAACCCCTCTTCGACACTTTGGAGATGGTTAAAAAAGAATAAATCTTCTCAATAATAACATCACAATCATTTAATTTAAGAGATGGGATGATTCCCCGCCAAAATGGCAGGGAAAATATCCTCCTCATCATTATAAATCCTTGTTCTCTCTGAAGTGCTGGCAACTTTTGTACAGCAACAAAGGACCAAGAGAGAAAAAGCGTAGGGCCTGGTTCTCTTTTTACAACTGTGACGTCCCTAGAGGTAAGGAAATCATCTGTGGATGGTTCCCATTGCTCTTGTGGGCTAAGCTTTTATGAAAGGCTGGCCTGTAAATGATGAGGAAGATTCTGGGATTTGCAATGAACTTTCTAAAAGAGGAAGCTTGAAGTGAGCTGGGTTTTTCAAAGATGGAACCCTTCTTTCCCCTTAAATTCAGAAATAGAGCCTATTGGGGCACCTGGGTGGCTCAGCTGGTTAAGTGTCTGGCTTTGGCTCAGGTCATGATCTCCTGGTTTGTGGGTTCGAGCCCTGTGTCAGGCTCTGTGCTGACAGCTAGCTCAGAGCCTGGAGCCCGCTTCAGATTCTGTGTCTCCCTCTCTCTGCCCCTCCCCAGCTCACACTCTGTCTCTCCCTCTCTCAAAAATAAATAAACGTTTAAAAAATTAATTAAAAAAAAGAGAAATAGAGCCTACACGCTTTGAATAGAGAGTGTTCCCATGTGTGTGTGTCCACCCAGCAATTATTTCCTGATATCCTGGCTCGAGCTTACATACAACTGGGACCTTACAAATTAAGCAGTAACATTAACCTTTTTTTTTTTTTCCCATGGCTAGCCAGTTCTGCATTGTCCTGACTAATTGAAAAGAAGAGAGAGCCCATGCTAATTGTGACTTAACACCAGCCAATTGAGTCCATGGATAATCCCCAAATTCCATTTGAGCCATCCAGCCTGCTTAAATGCTAAGTTGTGTTATTTTTACCAGAGCTGCTAACAAGTAACACATTAACTGATTCTAATTCTACTTCCGCTACCTTTCCCTTCAAGGCAGGGGAGATGGGTGTGGGGGGTGAGAGGAGGAGGAAGGGTAGTCTTAAGGGACATGTTGAAAAACTATATTCCAGAATGAGCCCCTTCCAATACTTATGGATTCTCCAGACCCATTTCTGGCCATTCCTCCCCTCTTCTCTGTTGAAGCAGATGTGGAGCCCAGGGTAGATGTCGAAATTGTGACAGTCTCCTCTGCCTTTTGTGACAATCTCCTGGCAGGGATCAAGAGCCTCAAGGGAGAGCCCGGGTGGCCGGTTCTCAGCCTTGTAGAGTGGGAAAACTGGTGCTCTAGGACAGTGGCTGAGGACATTGACTGAGGGGCAGGGTGCAGGATTAAGGAATAGGAAGAAAACAGGGCCTGTGGACAGTGAGGATAAGCTCCTAGGGGACAGACTGGTGGCCAGCGCAGGGGGTGGAAGCACAGCGCTGCTGGGTAAGACGGAAGGGCTGCATTGAAAGCCCAGCCACGTTACTAATTCATAGGCTGACCTTCAGGCAAGCTGCTCATTTTCTTACTTTGGATGAAATTTACCAACTCACTGTCTGACTCGACACAAAAGGAATAAGGGCAAGAATCTTCACTTACAAATAGTGATCATGACCTTGCCAAGGCTCCCAGGTAACAGCCATTTCTTAAAATTTTCCCAGATAGGTGAAAAATGTCACTGTATGTGGTAGGAACCATCATACCAAAGAAATCAATCCAATTTTATCCAACTGCAGTTCATCTTTCTGTCATCTTTAGCCATTACACAACTAATGACAAGCTGGATGTCTGGAAGTCAATGGCACCATCTGGGAGTCAGAGCAGACTCTATTTGGGTATAAAGAAAGCCCTGAGCACCTCCAACCCACAGGAAAGTTATGTGTAAGTAATGACTCTAAGGCCCAGCAATGGTGCCTTTTATTTTGACCATGCCTTGCCTGGTTGTGATACTACTAGGCAATTCCCAGACAAATACAGTCTGAACCAGAGCCACTGGAGAAGAGGTGAAGAATCAAAGTCTGTGGCTCCACTCCATCCCCAAGTCACACTGTTAAACATGCTGAGACAGAAAATACATCAGTTCCAGGTTTGTGTGAAAGGACAAGGATTCCAAGGAAGAATAATTAACCATTAAGAGTACCTGTTGGTTGTGAGGGATCAGCTAGCTTAATGTGAGGATTAACCAAGCACACAATTCCATACAGGTCAACATCCCTTCATGACAAAGAAAGAAGAGTCCTTCATTGGGATCAAGGCCACTAAGCTATGCTCTGGAGGGGACTGGGTGAGTCCCACAAAGATATGGCCCTTGCATGAGGCCTTCTGCATTCCTGGTGAGAAGCCAGACCCTCCACCATGACTGGAAGGTGGGCCGTGTATACTAGGGGTGAGCACTGGGCAGGACCCAGGGCACAGGGGTTGTTCACATGGCATCAGTTCTGCCATCAGGTGGTTTTCCTGACCCTTCAAACCCCCCACCTTCACATTTTAAACAGTGTCCTCATCTTTACCCAAACCCTGTGCACTGGCTCTGGGAGGTTCAGACCTGTACTTAGAACTCAGTGGTAGTCAGTCACTCTCTCCTCCTAGGCCTGCAAAGGAGTTCAGCACAACATCCAGTTCCCAGCTTTCAATAAATGTTTTCATCAACCACTTTCTGGCACAAAAGTAGTTTTTAATCTCCTCCCTTACTTTGCATAAATCACGAAGTTGGATATGCATTTAACGATCTAAGCCACCTCAGGTGTTATTTACAAGGAGGAATACGATACCCCTGATGTGTGTGCACTAAGGAGCATGTGTGAGAATGTTTGTTGGAGCACATTCTAGAAGGAAGAGTCAGATGAATACATGAACGAAAATGATCAGATAGTTTAAGTGCTGTGACGAAAAATAAAGGCGCTAATGTGATAGAATTTGCTTAGAAAGGACAGTTAGATACGGCAACTGGGGAATCTTTTCGGAGAAGATAATAGTTCACCTCTTAGGGCCAGGACCTCGCTGAGATGGAACCAGCCCCAACTGAGAACTCCAACACCATCACGAGCAGAATGCATCAATATATTAGAGTATCTATGGAATACTATGCAATAATGAAAACAGACTCTAACTGCAGTAAAAATATGGGTGAATCTCTCAAACATAATGTTAGACAGAAGAAGTTAAACACATGAGTTCTTCATATATTATTCCACTTAGATAAATTTTTTAAAAATGGGCCAAACTACTAATTGGAACAGAACTCAGGATGGTTTCCCTTGGGTAGGGGACTTGGTAAAAAGTCATCAAGTTTTATAATTCTGGTTTATTTCTCTCAGTGTGTGTCATGTGTCAGTACAAAGCTCACTTAAAAAATAAATAAGCAAAGAAAAAAAAATTCCACTTGGAAAGACCTAGAAGGAAGTAAAAAGGCTGATAGCATGTGATCCCTCCCCTCTTTTGTATCTAGGATTGTCAACATCTGCTTTCCTTTCAAAATTCAAGATGAGGAGAGAATGAGCATCCTGTTTCCACCTCACATCCCGGCCACAGGGACAAGAAGTGGAGTTTTCTGACACAACTCACTTTTCCATTATAACCAACTATTCTGAAGGGCTCTTATGATGTGCTGGAGCTAGAAGGCTCTGTGCCTCCTAAGGTCTGCTCTGTGCTCATATTTTCCATGAGAGACTGAGAAGGGGGAAGCGCTTGGGACTACAGGCTAAGATGGGGTTTAATCATTATCTGTGGATTACCTTTCTCACCTCCCAACTACCACAACTGAATGGGTGGTAATGTCCTTTTTGCCACAGGGTTGACTGAACAGATAGTCCTGGTGATTAGAAAGCTCCGACACAAGTATAATCCCAACAGGCTTTCTCTCTGTACTAATAAACCAGGAATATCCCTGGGAACACACAAAACTAGAAAGCTAAAAACTGATGGTGATGACTGAAGGAAGGAATAAGGATCGGTGTGGAAATTAATGAATTAGTGAATAGAGATACAATAAAAAAAAAAAAGAACAAGACCAAAAGTTGGTTCTTTGAAAAGATCAATGACATTTGACAAATGACTTAGCATCTGAGAATCAATTAATGTAATACATGACATCAATAGAATAAAGAAAAAATGTACATGATCATCTCGATAGATGCAACAAAAGCATCTGACAAAATTAAATACCCTTTCACAATAAAAAGTACTCAACAAACTCTCAGCCTAGTAAAAGGTATATATGAAACCCACAGCTAACCTCACACTTAATGGTGAAAGACTAGATGCTTTTTCCCTCCTAAAATCGGGAACAAGACAAAGATGTCCACCACTCTTGCCACTTCTATTCAACATTCTACTGGAGGTTCTAGACATGGCAATCAGGAAAGAAAATGAAATAAAAGGCATCTAAGTTGGAAAGTTAGAAATAATACTACCTCTCTTTGCAGATGACATGATCTGATATGCAGAAAATCCTAAGGAATCAAAAAAACTATTTGAACTAATGAACCAGCTCAATAAGATTGCAGTATGTAAGATGAATACAGAAAGTCAACTGTATTCTCTATACTTGTAATGAGCAAATAAAAAATAAAATGAAGAAAACAATTCCATCTATGATATCATCCAAAAGAGTAGCACACACAATAAGTTTCACAAAATAAGTGTAAAACTTTAACCCTAAAAATAACAAATCACTGTTGAAAGAAATTAAAGAAACCTAAATAAATGAAAAGACATCCCATGTTCATGGATCAGAAGACTGAATATCATTAAGATGGCAATACTCTTCAAATTGATCTATGGATTTAATGTAATTCCTATCAAAATCCTTGCTGCCTTTTATTCCCCAGAAATGGACAAAAACTGATCCTAAAATTTATATGAAAATGCAAGGACCTGGGGGTTGTGGGTGATAGCAGCTAAGGGGTACTGAGTTTATTTTTAGGGTAATGAAAATGTTCTAAAGTTGATTATGGTGATGGAAATATAATTATATGACCATATTAAAAGCCACTGAACTGTATACTTTAAATGAGTAAATTATATGGTATGTGAATCCTATCTCAATAAAACTGTTAAAAATAAAAACCCAACTGGATGAAATTAAATTGTGACTCAGCAACCAGCTGATATGGGAATCCTCCCATGAACCAGTAATTACATTTTCTAAATCTGCATGTTGCCGCCATAATTCTCCTTGGACAGATGGGGAAGTTGACGTCAGAACAGTGACAAAGTCTGAGTGGTTCACAAAACAAAGGAGAAGTGGCCAGCACTAGGAGGTTTTTTTTTTCACTTCAAGAGGTGAGGCCACATTGGCCAAATCTCTTTGGGTAACACCCAAAGAGATACAGAGCTCTATCTATGTGTCCCACTTGATCAGGGGATGGAGTAAGAGCTGAATCTCTCAATATACCTGGCATCTTATATATACCTGTCTATTAAGAAGCATAGAAAGCGCGCGCGCACGCGTGCACACGCGCGCACACACACACACACACATACTCTCTCTCTCTCTCTCTCTCTCTTTCTCTCTCTCTCTCTCAGGTCTATTTTTAGGATATAAGTTTCACTTTAAAAATGAACCCCAAACCTGCTTCTAGATAGTTCATAATGAGGGGTCAGCATTTTTAAAGCGAGAGTTTGGGAATTGTTAAAACAGATGTTCTGTGAATCCAGATAAGGACTAAAGAGTCAACACAGGCCATGAATTGAGCAAACTCATGGTTCAACAAGGCCATAAAAAGGGGGGATTAAATTAAAAGGGGATTAAACACAAATTAAAATAAGCCTAGGGAAAAAGTTAAGAATATGCTCACTCTGAATCCACACAAGAAATGCGGTCTGAACAGGAAGACGATGAGGGAGAGAAATGCCAGGGTCAATGTAAGAGGATTAAGAGAGGTTGCCTGGGGAAATGCTGTCCCCTTTGAAAATGCGACAATCGTGTTCCGAAGTCACACGTGTGGAAACTATAGCGATGCAGTAGCCTGCGGTCTCTCTGCCACTTTTCCAAGTTGAGAACAGCCGTGGAAGGCTTCCACGTGTATTCACACATGCCACCTTTCCCTCACAGAGAGATTCTGAAGAGCCATCATGCCTTGTCCCTGCAGGGACCAGCAACGATGGGAAGGGGAGGAATCAAGAGTGGGTCAACGACTGTGCCTGTCCCCTGGCCCTCTCCATGGTCTCTCCCTGCCATGCCCCCTCCCCCCAGCTGGGGAGGGCCCACACGGAGGCTGCAGGGGCTCCCCCCGGCCCACCTTCCTCAAAGGTCGTCAAGTCCCAGACTTAAAACTTCAAAATATTAAGCAGTACTAAAGACACATCACCTTCCAATCCCTTACAAGTTATTTAATTCTCCTTCTTCTTATAGCTAATTCAGTTTAAAACAAATTGTTATTTTTATTTTTGGTGGGGAGAGTGAATGAGAGATGAGATAAAGAGAGGGGGACAGAGGATCTGAAGTGGGCTCTGCACTGACAGCAGAGAGCCCAACACAGGGCTCAAACTCACAAATGGTGAGATCATGACCTCAGCCGAAGTTCAGGCTTTTAACCGACTGAGCCACCCAGATGCCCCTAAAATGAATTTGTAAACAAAAGGATCAAGGTATTGCTGAAGAAAAGAAAAAAGTTTAGCTCTGGCTTACAAACAGCTTTGTCACTGATTGCTGGGTAATGCCAGGGTTCTTATAATAAATAGAATGAGAATCCCAAAGACCAACAGTGATGGCTAAGAACAGTAGCCATCTGAAGTAAGCACTGAAATGAATTTTCCTACTTAAAATGCCCCCACTGGTGTACAGATATTTGCAGAAGTTATGAAAAGTAATGAGGTCCATTTATTAAATTGGCAAATGAGACTCGTTGTCTGGTTTTCTTTCAGGGGAGGAATCTGCCCTTGAACTTCTCATCCTTGAGTTTCCCCAAGGTTTTCCTCCAACCCCTAACCTACAAATGAGGACATCAACTGCCGTACTTCTCTCCTGAGTAGACGCGGGCTTTCCGAGGGAGGGTGTAGGTTTTTGTGTTTGCTCCTTTCCGGAGAGGATCGTCCAGAGGTGACTGGCAGGGTGGATCCTCCAGAGGGTTCCAGTAGCTCTGTTCACACATACCCCGCAACAAGATCTCCGCCAACTGCCTGGCTATCGTCTGGGGACACAAAGGAACAAAGGCGTAGCCATGAATCAATATTGTATCATTCATTCCCTCGTTCGCTCATTCAATAAATTTACTTTTCAGTCATCACTTTGTGCTAGGCACTATTCCAAGACGCATGATTAAAAATGTTTTACTTCTCTGATGAAAATTATATCAATTGATGACCAAAAAAAGGAAAAGAAATTACAATACACTGAGATAGTTGAGCCTTTTTAAAACACAAGTTCCTGCCCTTCGAATGCCATCCTGCCTCACTATACTCTGAAACGCTGCTAAAACCCAACTTGGCAAAAAGCCAGTGCTCAACCTAGATTATGTTATTCCTGGGGGGGAAGGGGGGGGGAAATCTCTTCGTCGATGATAAGATGGCAACCAGGGCAGCCTTTTAGAATGCCTCCCCTCTTTGAAGTGCTAAAGTCCAGTCCCACGGAGGCCCCATCCTGGGACTCAGCACCTGAACACCTTGTTCCTGGTGCATGATAGGCCTTGAAGCCCAAAGGCTCCTGCCGACCTGGTGCGACAGCGAAAGCAAGGCGGGGGGCATGACTGCTGACCAAGAAAGACCTCTTTTCAAAGCTGGATAAGTATCACTTTTCTCACCGTGAAAACCCGGATCTGAGTCTTGTCATCTTACGTTAGACACGTATTTACTATGCTCTCCCAGCCCTCTGTGGCAGAACAGGGAAAACTACCACGGAGGATGAATGGGAGGAGGGGGCATGTGGCATCTACTAAGGAATATTTCGTTGGCTGATGCATATCAGTTCATTGACCTCACAATCTTCCAGAGATAAAGGAGAGAAGTAAAAACAAAGAAACAAACAAACTCACAAACACTCTCTGAAAGCAAAAGCACTGCACCTGAGGGTGGTCCAGGCTGCCCCATGACCAGCCAAAGGTGGCAAAATAAAACTTCAACCATCAGGTTTTCCCACAAGGTCTTAGCATTCTTTGGAACATGCAGAGAATGCTGGTCTTCCCCGAGAGGGAGACTTTTTTTTTTTTTAAAATAAATATGTTCCAGGAGAGAACTCTGCTAGGTTTTCATCCACGTGAAATCTCCTAAAACACCACAAGGAAATTTAAATGCAACCAAATCACTAGCTTAGTGGTTTCTGATAACCGCTGGGTAAAGGCAAATTTTCTTGATTATTCCCAAGTAAGACCCGCTGGCTTTAAATGTCTACAAAAATGTGAAATTAAATCCACTCCTATCATCCCCAGCTGAGCCATCTGTAAAGATCTCATAAGAACACAATTTTCAGGACCTAAACAGCTCCTGAATCGTTTTCTTAAACCTTCCATTATAGTTTCATTTCCATCTCATTGCAGTCATATACGTTAATGACTTCTGCTGGAAGCATCCACCAGCAGAAATAACCTTCACTCGCTAAAGCTGAAGGAAAAAAAAAAGTCAAAGGAAAAAAAATGAGCGAGGAACTTCATTTTCTGGATATATCTGCCATGGAGGGATTCCTAAGTTATAAAAATCTCTGCCCTAAAAACAGTTTGCTTGTCCACTACTAGACAGCTCATGCGAGATCTCCCTTTACCTCAGGGTATTAACCTTCCAGAAAGACTTTTAGAACAAGGTTATGATGTGATTTCATATTTAAAGATGTCACTTCACTACCATACTACCAACGAGGGAGGATGTTTGGTTGTGTGCACCGAGGGCCCACATGAAGTTCAGAACAGGAGATTCAATATGAGAAATCGCCAGCAACATCACCAATTATCGATCAGACCTTTTACTTTGTATACTCAGGTTTTATTTGCTTGCAATTGAAATGTTACCAAATTGTTGACAGCTACGAAATAAAGTCAGAAGGAAAGAAAGGAGAGGAAGGGAGCCAGAAATAAGTCAAATTATTAGGTACAAACTTGGTCATTAAATCTGTTTTGTATGTATTTTTATAATTGTGGTAAAATTCACATACCATAAAATTTACTATTTTAACCATTTTGGTGTATAATCCAATGGCGCTTAGTACATTCACCGTGCTATGCAATCATCACCTCTATCTAGTTCGAGAATATAAGCCTAAAAGGAAGCCCTGTACCCTTCTCGTAGTCACTTCCATTCCCTCCTTCCAGACCCTGGGAACAACGAATCTGCTTTCTGTCTCTGTAGATTTGCCTGGTTGGGACATTTCAGATAAATGGAGTCACACAATTTGTGGCCTTCTTTGTATCTACCTTTTTCACTCAGTGTAACATTTCCAAGGCCCACTCATGTTGTAGCCTGGGTCAGTCTTCACTCTTTTTGTGACTGAATAATACTCTGTTGTGTGGACATACCACATTTTGTTTACCTAGTCATCAGCTGATAGACATTTAGATCACTTCCATCTTTTGGCGATTGTAAACAGGGCTGCTACAAACATTAACGTACAAGTTTTTGTTTGAACACCTGCTTTTACTGCCTCAGAGTGTTTCTCTAAGAGGGGGGTTGCTGTAAATGTACTTTTAAGTCCTTGGCTATGGTCTCATCCCATGCAGAGTTTACAAAGCAACGTGTCCATCTCCTGAGTGTGTCATAAATTTGCAATGATCAGCTAATCTTTAAGGAATCCTACAGTTATGGGCAGTATTACCTGGACAAGCTTTCTGAGGTCTAGTGTAGACCAAGGTGCCGGTGAATATGACCCAGCCGGGGAGGGCAAAGAACCCCTTGTAGAAGCAAGAAAGTAAGATTCTCAGGTCCTGCTCCAAACCTACTCAGTTGACATTTCTGAGGTCAGGACTAGGGATGTGTACTTTTTCAAAAACGTTGCTCACATAATTCTGATGCACATCTTTGTTTAAGCACTCAAGGAACTGGGAGCAGTTCAACCTCGGTCACGTGAGGCTCATCAACCAAGACCAAAGGTCTCCTTGTGCCTCAAGTCCAACACAGAGAGGAAGTCATTCCTCTTGTGCCGGTACCAACCAGTTAACAGGATTTTCAGCTGGAAGGGCAGCTCCAGTCTATCCAGATTTCTTTAGGAGCCTCTTCACTGTACTTCTCAGAAAAAAGGAAAAATGAATTAAAAAACCTTCTCTCCCTTCCTGACATATCTTTATTCAGAACCCTACCTCACAGGATTTTTATAAGTTCAAGTATATTTATTTCAATATCATAACCCTTGGGCAATAATGGAAGATATTCTCTAATTCGGTGAAAAATAATGTGCACTCAACACACTCACGCCTTCTAATGGGGGGAAAACCATTCATGTCCTTAATACAATATATATGCTTTTGAGTCAACAATATGACCAAATGCTCCATATTTAAGCAATCTTGAAAGACTGGATTTTTTTTTAAATTTTTTTAATGTTTTATTTATTTCTAGGAGAGAGAGAGAGAGAGAGAGAGAGAGACAGCGTGAGCAGGGGAGGGTCAGAGAGAGAAGGAGTCACAGACTCTGAAACAGGCTCCAGGCTCCAAGCTGGCAGTCAGCACAGAGCCCGACGCGGGGCTCGAACCCACGAACCGCGAGATCATGACCTAAGCGAAAGTCGGACGCTTAACCGACTAAGCCACCCAGGCACCCCTTGAAAGACTGGATTTTTAATCAGCTTTTAAAACAATTATAAGAACACTGCCAATATAATCAGTTACTTTAATTGTGCTTCCAAATCTTAAAAGAACCTGTTCGTGCTGACTAGGCAAGAAGTTTTATGAAATGTTGGGAGAAGGTCAATCTGGGAGAAAAGACATTTGGCAACAATTTTTATCTATACTTTTCCAGGGTGTTTTTTTTTTTTCCTTAAAGAACTCTACAAACCAAAATGTCTAGTTTGAACTTCTTAAGGCACCTAAAAATCACATCAATATATAAATAGATCTCTCAGACCAAGTGAAGTCTTGGTGCGGGATGGAAGTTGTAAAGTCACCCATCTTCCCTCATGCCCACTAATTCTAGGAAAGCCTATGGCTTAGCCACGTGGTCTCATGATAGTTGTGGATCCTAAAACCTCAAAGATACCAAAACGAAGATTCAGCCTCGCTTCCCACAACAGTAGTCTCTTAGTCGTGCCCAACTGGAAACTCTACCACCACATGACAAGGGGCAATGACATGGGGAGGATAGCGACATGGTGACAAGACAAAAGAAGGTGGAATCTTGCGTGGAGTTGTACGTGATATTCGCTTAGCTTCTGGTAAGCTCCAGGCCTCCACCCAGACCCCCCTTGGCTATGGCTCTACAGGGCAGACTATGGAGGCACCATTAATAACCTTCCAGCCGGTGAAGTTCAAGCAGTAAAAGGAAGAGGAAGAACTTAAGTCAACAAGAGAGCCTAACAGTGGATTCGGTTTATGTAACTCGCTTTTATATTTCTCCTTTGAGTTTTAGAGTCAATATAACTAGTCAAACAACTAGGTACTTGTCAGGATCTAGTCTGCTTTTGCTCTGGCTGGGTTTTGGTGGGAAATCATTAGCGGACAACCGACCCCTTCGTTACACTGGCATCTGGGAGGGCTCACATTCCCCCTGCCTTCCAGGATGCATTTCTTAGGTTTCAAGAGCTAGCACTACCAAGAAGCACATAAAATGATGCTCAACATCATTAGCTTAACCATCAGGAAAATGTAAATTAAAACCACAATGAGACAGCACTTGCCATGCACTGGGATGGCTACAACTAAAGAGACAGATAGTAACAAGTGCCATCAGGGATATGGAGAAAATGGAGGCCTCATAACTGCTGGGGGGAAGATAAAACGGTGCAGCCACTGGAGAATTATCTGGCAATTCCTCCAAATGTTAAACGTAGAGTTACCATATGACTTGGCAATCAAAAAGAATGAGATCTTGCCACTTGCAACAATGCAGGTAGAACTAGAGTGTGTTATGCTAAGCGAAATTGATCAGAGAAAGACAAATATCATATGACTTCATTATATGTTGAATTTAAGATACAAAACAGATGAAAGAGGGAAGGGAAGCAAAAATAATATAAAAACAGGCAGGGGGACAAAACATAAAAGGCTCTTAAAGATAGAGAATGAACTGAGGGTTGCTGGAGGGGTTTTGGGAAGGGTGATGGCTAAATGGGCAAGGGGTTATTGAGGAAGACACTTGTTGGCATGAGCACTGGGTGTTATAGGTAGGGGATGAATCACTGGATTCTACTCCTGGATAGTACCATATGCTAACTTGGAGGTAAATTAATTAAACAAACAAACAAAGCAGAGCTAGCATATGATCCAGCAAGTCCACTCCTAGGTACAAAAATGAATATTTCCACCTAAACACTTGCATGAGAAGGTCCATTGATGTATTATTCATAGCAGCCAACAGGTGGAAACAACCCAAATGTCTATCTGATGAGCAGACACACGAAATGTGTTAGATCCGAGCAGTGGGATAGTATTCGGTCACAAAAAGGAGTGAAGTCCTGATCCAGGCTACACCACGGGTGCAACCGGAAAGCAGTACGCCAAGGAGGCCAGTCATAAAAAGACCACATGGTACCCATCATCCCACTTACATGAAGTGTCCAAAACAGGGCAGATCCATAAAAGGCAAAACTAAATTAGTGGTTGCCGGAAGCTGGGGGGAAAAGGGGGAGCGTGGGGATTGACTACTGATAGTTATGGGGTTTCTCTTTGGGGATGAGAATGTTCTGGAATTAAACAGTAGTGATGGCTGAGCAGACATGCGAGTATACTACAGACCACTGACTTTAAATGGGTGAAATGTCTGGTGTGGAAATTAGATCTCAATCAAGCTCATATTATCTATGGCAGAGGGGGAGAGGGAGAGGCAGGGGGAGGGAGGGGGAGGGAGGCAAGGAGTGAGAATACTTGAAGTGCCCTTCTGGCCTCAAATCATCCATCACACTCACCATTCGCAGGTTTTGAGTTGTTCTTGTTTCTACCGCTCTGAGGATCTCTCTAAATCTCCCGACTCCTCTTGTCAAGTTCCTGTGTGCACAGAATTGACAGGGTTTCCATCTGGCGCACATTAATATTAAATATTTTATACACATATTTCAATGCATTTTGTCTACATAAAAGCTGTTGGCTAGATTTTCAGCAAACAATTATTCTGCACATGTCCATCTATCTTTGTTCAACTCTGAAAAATTTGGCCTAGGGTTGGTGGTCTTTTGTGCTTCCATGGTCAGATTTTCTCAAGAAAAACAAATCTGAAGGTCAGTTCTAAGGGAAGGAAGGGAGGAAGGAAGAAAGGGAGGGAGGGAAGGAAGGGAGGGAGGGAGGAAAGAAGGGAGGGAGGGAGGGAGGAAGAAAATGTACGACATCTTGCAAGAGTGTCTCTTCAACCTTACAGTGGCTCCGCAGTTCTTCTGCTCTACTGATCGGTGCTGAAATCTCTCTTTTCACTTAAAAGGTGGATGGCAAAATGGTACAGGAAGGAATATCACCACTGAATGCACTACGGGTAAAGGCTTCCTATTACTCGCAATTTTTATGGGCAAGAAGACAAAGGTAACAGGTATGAAAACTGTGGGGTCCCGCCAAGCAATCACTCTGCATCTCTGAGGACATAAATCACTGCCCCCCAAAAACCATCAAGCAGACCCTCCTCCTCCCAACCCTGCATGAACGAGAAAAAGCAAATGGTCAAAGGCCCCTTCTGAGAGCGAATCCGTGAGGACCGGAACCCGGAGCCGCTGGACTCTGCTCGGAACGCATCTCACCTCCCTGCCCCACACCTCGCTGGGACACACTTCACTACGGGGCAAATCACTGTTCAGTGACATCCTGGTGCTGATCCCCAGGCCCCTGTCAGTTGTCTTCCCTGAAAGCTGCACCCGCCCTGCTCAGCTGAGAACACTTCCCATTTACATTGAGCACTGCCACCACCTATGACATCACGCGGTGATATTTATAACTTGCTCATTAGGACACATCTCATCTTTCCAAAAAGCCGCAGAACGGGTCAGCCAGTGCAAACCTGTCAGCCAGTCTCTGCGGGATGGGGCAGATGCTCTAGGTATTTGGCTCTCTTCTTGGGTGACATTTTAACCCATGCAGAGGCATTTAATCAAACTGAATGTGGGGTTTCTAGAGGTTACAAGCATTCACGAGGGCTGTTCATTTGTATCTTATACCTACGCGACACCCCAGGACTCTCGTCCACGGGTACAGCCCCGGAACTTTAAGATAATAGTTTACTGGCGTAAGTACATAAATACTCCCGGATTCCTCTCACCCACACATATCAGATGATAGCAGATCAGAAGCTTTATGGTGACATAAAAAAAGAAGCGTGTGCCCAGGACTCAAAGCAGCGCTAAAGGAAATCTAACAGAAGCATGAATAAAAATTAGGTAATGGGCCCCAGGACATACAATCTCCTTTGCTTTCCCCTTCATTTGTTTTTATGGGATCCGTGTTCACAGGCAACAAAGTACATTTGCTTTGGACTGAAGCTCAGCTCTCTTAAGTAAACCGGGGGGTGGGGGTGGGGGGATAATCACAGCTAAGAAAGAGACGGGTGTGGGCACAGTGGTTTAATTTTGTTCCAGAATCACAGACCAAGCTCCTACTATGCACAAAGAAACAGCAGTTTGAACTGTAGGACGCCAGGGTGGGGCTGAGGGAACACAACCGGGGACCCCGGTTCAAAGGGCTGTTTTTCCAGGGTGGAAATCAGGCCGGAAAGTAGCGTCGGATCTGAATATGATGAGCCAGGGAAGGTTGCGAGATAGGAACTGGTCATTCAGAATGTCTCCCACGCCCTCCTGGCAGAAGGAGATACTTATCCAGTTACAGACGCACAGAATTTTCTAGCTAGACACGATCCAATGCGACCTAGTCCATTATGACACAGAAGCGAAATGGCTCACTCAAGTTCGCAAACCGAGAGAATGAACTGGAAGCTTTCTCCTGGGTGCTATCACCTTTCTGGGCAGAAGGAAGGTCAGCTCTGAAAGTGAAGTGTGGCTCTAGAAGAAGGAACAAGGTACGAATACAAGAGCTTGGGTCTGTGTGTTGTATCATTTATATGCAAATCACTTCATATATACATAGTACCAATTTTACCCGTTCCAGTGATCACAGCTAATGAGCTACTGCTAGGAAGGGGCTCACAATCGGAAAGAAAATGCTTCGGCTCAGGGGCAGGCTTCTGGAGGGGACTGCCTTGCCTGCCTTAAAAGAGAAAGGATGGCTATAGAAACGCAACTACCCTCTGAGGGCCAGGTGGCTTTCCCGTGCAGGGCCGAGGCCCCCTGCTGGATGACTGGAGGAAGTGTCCGGGCCTCAGGCGTGTGGCACAGGAGGGGGCCGATCAGCCTCTGGGGGCTTGTTCCCAAGGTACCCAGGCTGCCTCTGAAGCAAACAGTTTCTCGCAACTGTTTCCACAGTATTTCTGGCCGGAGTTTTTTAGAATCGAATTGTTCCTCAAGCTTGGGGAGGTCCTGTTTGTAAACAAAGAATCCATGGTGACCCCCGAAGGCCTCACCCCGCCGTGCTAATCAAACGAACGTGGCACCATCCACGTGTGCGGGTGTCCAGCCACAGAGCAGGCTGACAGCAGGAAGAAAGGGCTGGAGGTGAAAGATTTTAAACAGCAGAAGAGGAAGAAAGTTTCACAGGCGCAGAAACATCTCCTTTCTCAGCAACTCCTATACCATTCATACATTTTTTTAGGCACATAATTTTATGCAACCAATCATTTCCACTGTTGCCATGACAGCAGAAAAAAATTTTTTTAAGCTAGATGGATGATCATGATAGAAAGGAACAAAAAAGGGAAATTTACTTAGAAGAATTATATTCTAAATGCTACCAAATATTCCATTTTGAGGGAAATAAAAGCCACAGGATTGCTTTCGTGTCTCTGAACTGTGAGTTTATTCTTCAAAATGTTGTGACCACGAAACATCTAGAATGAATTGTTGCTTTAAAAATCCACTCCCAAATGAAGGCAAGGGAGCCAAGGACGTTCCCTGGGATGGAGGGCTTCCACAGACCCTTCACACTAGGTCACTGATTCCATTTCAACACCCTTGACTGAAAGAGCACAATGATGTCAGAATTCATTATGGCAAACCAGTCTCAAAATGGATGTCCCTGCCAGACTGTGAGCCTGTGAGAAGCGGGCACGCTGGCAAGCTGTCAGAACTCGGGGCTCACCTCCCGCATCTTGTGGGGTAGGCTTCCTGAGCTGGTGCGCCTCCCTCTGCGTGGACCGCTCCCCAACAGCTCAGCTACCACCAAGGAGAAGGGGCCTGTGTGTCCCTTGAGCCCCAGCTGGTTTGTCCAGTGTGAGGAGCAGGCACACCTCGCCTTCACTTGCCAACATCCCTGTAGGTCCCCAACCCTGCAGGGAGAGCTCGGGCCAGTCCCACCGCCTGGCTCGTGTTCAAACCCAGGCAACCTACCCCTCTGTCTTGACGAAAAGCCCGCCCACTTTTCCCAGGGATGCGGTCTACTCCTGGTGACCTACTTGCACTTCTTCTTCCCTCCTCTTTTCTCCATCTGGTTTCATCATCCTCCTTGCTCCCCCCAGGTCTTGTCTGCTGGCCCTTAGGGCAAAAGCATGACTTCCTGAGGACCCCGAGGGAGGCGGCCCGGCCAGCGCTTGGCCTCCCTCTGGACCCCGTGGGCCCTGCAGCAGCAGTTTGAAGGCTGGTTTCTGAAATTTACACTCTCACGTACAAGTCCACGGCAACTCCTGTTCCATGACTCTGAGCCACCCTCAGAGCTCTTTAACATGGCCACGTGTGCCTCTGTGCCACCAACCCAAGGAGGAGCTGCACTGGGAAGGAAGCCAGAGCTCCAAAGTCAAAATCAACACGGAAAACCAGGGCTGGGAGAAACTTGAAGACGTTCATAACCACTACGCCTTGTAATGGGTGACTCTTTCAATGCAGCAAGCTTTTTTTGTTACTATTTCTCCTTTCGTTTCTTGGGACCAGGGTGGGAAGAGGCAATTCTTCCCCTTAACTTGCCCTTCCGAATTATTTTCGACCCTATAGTCTGGCCCAGGCCACCAAGGCACTTAAATTCAATGATCGACTATCACTGTCATGCAAACCCAAAGTCCTAAGTGAATAAAATACTGTTTATGCTGTTTGTCAAACTCCTGGATGATAAGGTAAAAGTGCTCCTGCTAGAGTTAAATTCTGTATTTTTTCTCCTCTGTGGTTGAGAAATTTATAACCAAAGATCAATCAGGGAACAAGTCAACCCAGTTGATCTCTCAGATCTAAGAAGTCATTTGACTTTTGCCAGGTCTTTTCTTACCAACTAGTGCCCCTGAAGCAGCAGCTCATTTCAACAGTCACTGAGTGCTATTGTACTTCAGGTTCTATAGGGTTGTCTCTGAGGATACACGGGTGAGCGAGAGACACCGTCCCACTTCAGGGAGCTCAGAGTGCTCCACACCCTCCACAAGAACGTAAGCAACTTAAGGACCAAGATCTGTGTTCTGTTCACTGACATTGCCCAAGCCCCTCAAACAGAGCCTAGTATACAGCAAGTGCTCAATAAATACTGGTTGAATGAGGGGCAACTGGGTGGCTCAGTCGGTTAAGCATCCAACTTTGGCTCAGGTCATGATCTCAGGGTTTGTGAGTTTGAGCCCTACATCGGGCTCTGTGCTGACAGCTCAGAGCCTGGAGCCTGCTTTGGATTCTGTGTCTCCCTCTGTTTCTGCCCCTCCCCTGCTCAAGCTCTCTCTCTCTCTCTCTCTTTCAAGAATAAATAAACATTAAAAAATTTTAAATACTTATTGAATGGATTTCAGAGCTACTCTGAGTCAAATAAACCAAGATCACAAGAGAATACATTTTCTACCTGTTCCTTGTTTCCTTCTTGTTTGCTGCAATGGACTGGCAGACAGCACAGCAACATATTCCCTTAAACAGAATATGTCAGAGATGCCCTTGGTGGCACTGCAGCTTGGGTGCCTGGAGAAGCAGTGACACACACCCCTGTCGCAAGGGACATGG